AACCGTGGCGTGACACAACTGCTTCCGAGCGTGAGTTTGTGAGCTGGTGACACAATACTGTCTGAACGCCAAAGCCTTTAATACATCCCAACTAATTTGCCAGTTAGACATTTCTTCCCTCCTCTGCTCTCCATTATGTTGCTATTAACACACAGTATGAAGCAGAAAGAACTGGCAGATAAAGTGCGCGGCCGCCCCTATGGAAGCAGACGGAAGGGCCGCGAACGGCGCAAGGGCCAGGTGGTGCTCTGTCAGGTCACCAAGGTAACACGGAGGATAATTACCTGCTAGTGCACTGACTCACTCAGCACGCCAAGTCTGTACGATACCTCTGATCACAGCCCCAACTCACTAGTTAAATATAAGCATAGCTTTAACGTGACACACGATCCTACACGAAAGCTGCTCACCGGCTGCGTCACGTGAGACAGTCGCTATCCAGAGTTTGCATATTGCAGCAGTGAGAGAAAGAAAGCAAAAAAGAGTTGTGTTTGTTTACTGCTTTTAAACTCTGTTTAGTGAGATGTGTCACATCTGGTGCTGATTAACAGCAGCAAAGCAGTGACCAATTAAATGCACTCTGGTAGCACATGTTTTTCAGTGGCTTGATAGTTGTTCGCTTTTTACATGCTTTTACTTGGTAGCGGCACACATTCTGAGCATCCAGGCTGATTTACATGATTACTGTTACGCATGCATACGTTCATTAGTTCAGGTTTAAGCTACTGAAAAAGCTACAACAGCTTTACGTAAATAAAAATCTGTATGGACAAAAAGACACATATAAACATGCGCTAATTCACATTCACACTAGAGTTGGTGGATTTCATCTGCTTACTAGTTACAATGACAATACATATCATTATATAGTAAATGAATACAGGATGACATAATCCTATCAAATCTATGTGTCAGGAAACAAACAAGGCCCCTTTTTTAATATGTGTAACACTTTTAATTAATTCTCTAAATGTTGGACTACTTGTTACAGCTTTGGCTTATTGGCAGCATTTTTTATTGTCAACAAATCTCATTAAAAAAAAAAAAAAAAAATATTAATGAATTGGTCCCACAAGCAAGTGCGAGGCCAAAGTCTGATTTACTTTTTCCTCTGTGCCATAAACCGCAGTTGCTGTCTGAAAACTATCTAAAATACGTCAGCGAGCCGCATGCTGTTCGTTCATTACGGTGAATGTAATTTTAGGAAATTACTCAACTCTAAAAAAATGAAACTATGTATTTGTCAAGCTGATTAACATCTTCAACTGGAGCCAGTGAGCATGAGGCTTGGTGGCACCGACTGGGTAGGGAATTCAGAAAGTATTAAAAGACAGATTAGATCTTTGGGATTTGTTGACAATTAGAAAAACATAAAGTCAGTCTTATCCTCAACATAGAACAATAATATGATAAGACCGTATCATCATCGTATAAATTTGCTGGATAAACCATTACATCGAATTACAGCCTCAGTGCAGAATTGTCTCTTTAACACACGCTCTCACGAGGCTACATTCATCCATGCAGGATTGCATGAGAACAGGGAAAATAAGGAAGCCGTGACTAATGCACCTCATGATAACATCTTACAGTAAAAGACTATAACCTCCCCCTCCTCCCACACACGCAAGCACAGGTGACGATGTTGTTTCTCTTTCAGTCATCCAGGATGCAAATAGCAGACATCCAAGTCACAGTTCTTTCCTTCCCTGTGGCCGAGGAAGGTGTCAGTGGGCATTTCAGGTTGAACATTATGAGAGTTTGGCAGGTTGAGTATGACGGCAGTGTGTGAGAGTTCAACTTGAACTGAACTGAACTGTAGCTCGGCACAGGCCAACGTAGTGGGCAAAAGCCCTGGAAGTTGTGGTTTGTTATGGAGGAAATGCCTTTATTCACAGTGGCTGAGCTAATGCTGCCAGAGACCAAAGGGGTGACATTAAATAATTATAGATAGATAGATAGATAGATAGATAGATAGATAGATAGATAGATAGATAGATAGATAGATAGATAGATAGATAGATAGATAGATAGA